AAATTCTTATTGGATTTTTAAAATAAAGTCAAGTATCAATGGTGGACCTGATTGTTTGAAAGCTCATCTAGTTGCACACATGTATGAATAGAAATTTGGAATTAATGTCATTGATATTTTTGCATCAGTCATGTATTAAAAAACTATCAAGATTCTAATTATAATTGCCATGCATTTCAAGCGGCCAATTCATCAACTTAATGTATTGGCAACCATTTTGAATGATATTCTTGATGAAGAAGTATTCATAGAACAACCTTAAGATTTTGTAAAACTTAGTAAAAGTTACCTAATCTATAAGCTTCACAAGTCTTTATATAGGTTATGTCAAAGTCTTCAAGCTTGATATACTTGTCTTCATGATGCACTTCTTGCTTAGAATCTCATACAATCAAAGTCCAATCCAAATTTCTATTTTTCTTATATTGGTGCTGATATAGTAGTATTTATAGTTTATATCAATAATATATTTGTCACAAGTAACAACTCAATTCTCATTATTCAATTGAAAAGTAATATATATACCAAACTTTTGAAACCAATGATCTTAGCTTCATTCAATGGTATCTTGGAGTTCAATTTGATATAGATTCTTCTAGTTTATAGATGCACTAAACTAATTATATCTTCAATATTCTTTATTAATTTAGTATGGACAACTATGTATCTTCTCCTACTCCTCTCCTTCAAAGCTTGATTTTATCCAAAGAAATATCCACACCTTGTATAGATGCTATATTATATATGATGTTAGTTGGAAATATTTACATATATATATATATATATATATATATATACTTACAAGCTGTTACACTTACAAGCTGTAAAATATATTTTGTATTATTTACATTGTTATTTAGACTCAGGCTTCTTCTTTGCAAAAGAAAAAAAAATCATTCGCATGACTATATAATGCTCATTATGGTCAAGACATAGATGGAAAAATATTAATTGGTGCCTATAACTTCTTTCTAGAAAGAACACTTATTTTTTAAAATTCCAAAAAGTAATCTAGCACTTCTAAATCATTGTACAAGTTTGAATACAGACGTGGCTTAATACTCATATAGAGCCATCTAAATTAGAAGATTACTATATGAACTTAGATTTCTGGACAACAAACAAATCACTCTCTATTGTGATAATCAAAGTAATATCAAACTGAGTTACAATCTTATTTTCTACGAAAAATCTAAGAATTTTAAAATTTATTATCGTTTAACTTGTCAAAAGATAGAAAGTGGCACTATCAAGATAGAATATATATATATATATATATATATATATATAAAGATATAATAAATAAAATTTTAAAATTTTAAAAAAAAATTAAAAAAAAACTTCACTTTTGTAATACTAACTTTTCTATTGCTTAGTCTAAGTATTCTATAAAATGTTAAGAATACTAAGCTATAATAGAATCCTTAGAGAATGTAGTATCTATATTATATAAATATCCTCTTCTTCTTCAAATTCCATTGTATTGATCATAGTTCAAGTAGTATTCAAGATCAAAATATATTATTTCTCTTGTGCATATTGCTTCTTTTTTGTATCAATGTAACTGCCTCCTAGACCTCCTATTTCATTTGTCATACCTCTTTATATTATTTTTAGAAGAGTTCAACTGATAGTTATTTTCATCTCCCTAAAGCTCTAATTTTTCAGCTTCCAATTGTATCTTCAAATCCTTTAGATGTTCTAAAAGTAATTTGTACAATTCCAATTCATTTTTGATTCGATCTCACAATGAAGGTCACACTCTATTATGCTTCAAAAGATATATAATAAAACTTGGAATATCTACTCAAACCATGTCGAAAGCTATCTATTCCAAAGTATTACTAATACAATCCCTCCAGCTTAATTTACTAGCCTAAGTCTCCACAAAAATAAAATATTTACTCTTTAATGTAAGCAAGAATAAATCCAATTGAGCACTGGTTCATCAATGTCACTCCCTCACGGACCTTATATTTTAAGAGTTTATTGAAGTGTGGCTTTGTCTTCTTGAAGAAATGATACTTGATCATATCTATTAATAATGTGATACCTTGCTTGAGTATTACTTGAGTATTACAAGAAGAGCCCACATCAACAACATCAAGACTCTCAATTGTGTTGTTTTTGTCGTAGTTTATTCTAAAAAATGTAATTTCATGCCAATAAATAGCAGTCTCATTAGTATTAGCTAAATATCTAAACAATCGTTTCTGAACAGTTGATTCAAACCCATTCATTGTCAAAGCGTTTTCATGAACCGCGTATTCACACAAGAGCGAAATGACCCAACATATCAATATGATGACTGATGTTGTGACTCACGATGTGATGGAGGTAATTACACCTCGTGCATGTCTCTCAATCCTACTCATTGTGTGGTACCGTGGTCTACATCACTACAAATCAAATGCAAACGTCCCGTATTAACCATTGGTGTGTAGTACATTTATTGTAGGAAACCACTTCTGCTGGACAATTCACTCGAATCATCCAAAATTCATTCAAAATTAGCGAAACAAAGAGTCACAAGACGTTAAGAAAACCTGGTAAAAGAGAAGCGAGCAGAAGCAAAACCTCCGATTCTTATGTCACCCAAACATATGAGCTTGGTATAGCAGGAAAAGCAGAAAAGAACCCTGCATCTGACTCGTGAAGGTGATGCAATATCACATTATGATCTCGTAATAGATCAGTTTTGTGCATGCTAAATCAGTCCCGGATAATCATAAGTATATCCTTGTGTCGATAAACGATCTACATAACTCTCTACTTCCATTTTTCCAGAACGCTCATGCACACAATGCTCTCAAATAGGTTTCTGCCACTGGACGTTCAGTTACAAAGTGCACCTGAATCCCTCAAAACCAAGCTCCTCACTTTCGATACCCAGCTGATCTTGGCCTTTATCCTCGTAGATTTCACCGTCAGAATTCACTTCCTCTTATCCACTGCCTTCTTCGCTGAAATTTTACTCGGCATCAGCTAAGTTCCTGTCATCGTTCAGTTCCGGTGAAAACCATCTCCCTATGTTATACAACATGAATTGCTGATTGCCTAGATGGTTTTCTTCCTGTCGTCCCCACGTCCAGACCCAGATGTCAATCGTCCTGATTTGCAGCCTAACCTTGCTATGGCATTTATTACTACCCCTTGCGAATAAAAAGGCTCATCGAACACAACCATTCTCTACCACAACAGAGAGACCTCCAACACGACAAACCTCTGACAGTACATGCAAGGCCCCCTACAACTTTCCATACAGCTCTTCTACCACATAACTCTGAATCTTCACCTCAGAAACAACTCTTATCAATTCTACACCTAGTTGATGTAGACTCAAGGTTCAAGCTCGCAAGCTACATGCAGACGAATCACCCGTGTGCAGATTTTATTTTTATTGTGGGCAAGTGATAACAGTCGTCTGCATAAATTCGAAATGTGTTTTTTGTATTCATGCATCATCCATGTTTACTTCAATTTCGTTATTACGCTTGTTGGTGCATCACAACACAAAACAAATTTGCAATAAATTTCTGTTTTTGTGCAAGATGAATGTTTATTGATGTCGTGCAGTCCCTAAAACATATAATTTTTTTATTACTTTTCACAAATATTAAACTCTTTGTTACATATAAGTTAATTATGCAATTGGTTCTTATAAATATATATATATATATATACATATATATATAAAAAATCAATTATGGTTCTTATATATATATATATATATATATTATTACAACTTAAATCTATGAACTTTTTTTTTGATATATTGGCTTAGATGTATCATGTATCTAGAAGATAAATCTTAATACATAGATCAATGTCTACATAAAATCCTTGATATGTATCTTTTATAGATATGAGACCAAATTTACTTGTACTGAAGCACAATTTTGTGCCTTGGTGTAGTTGAACATATCTAAGGCATTTTTGTTAACATAATTATATCTTATGTAAGGATTTTTTTATCACCACTAAATCAATCTACATAATTTTAAATATTTTGGTTTCAAAGAAAGAAATAAATATTATTGTATTAAATTGATCTAAAAAATCTTACTTGAATATATATATAAGCTCTTACAATTAATTTTAAAAATCAAAATTACAGACACAAAACATTTTTTTATATATATACCATTATATTTAATATAAGATATTTTGTGATTATAAGTATTTTCTAAAATCTCAAAAGAATAATTTAAAGGACAATTTCAGTGATTATTAAGTATTTTCTTCTACAAAATACTGAAAAAAACACAAATATTGATCAATTTTATTATCTTACCTTAATTTACCATATACATAAAATTTTAAATATAATTAAACTTGAAATCTTTTATTATATTCTTGAAAATGTTATAAAAATTAATATAAATAATATCTAAAATTTTCAAAGAAATCATTCAAATTAATATGTCATTTATTAAAATATTTTTATATAAAAAAGTAAAAGATGACACATTTGTGTACATTGTTTTGATCACCTTTCAATTCTACATACACATACAAAATAATTTCTCTATGTAATGATCAAAAGCAATATTATTCAAAATATGTGAAAATTAAAAATCTATGGTATTGAACAATAATTTTTTTATTCTTGGAATCTTTTATTAATATATTTTAATTTCTTATTTACCACTTGTATATATTTAAAAGAGTAAACTTCATACATATGCATAGTTGGACATTGGAGTTTTGTATTTTAAATGTGCTAATATTGGCCATTACTAGAACTATAATATTTACTAACAATGTGTTTATACACATTTAAATATAAAGATACAAAGTGTACTTCAAATTCATATCAAGGAAATCTGCTTAATATAACAATAATCAATGCATACAATTCACATTAACATGCTACAATTCACATTTAAGACACAATCTTAAACAATAATGCTAAAAATTAGAAAAAAAGACACTCATGTTGCAATCGCCTCTACTTATCTACTTATCTACATGCAATAACATTGTCTAATACAAAATAGTAGAAGAAAAGTACAAGATCTCCATTTTATCAATAGCACCATCGCCTTGCCAAAGCAATTACTCTCTCAAAGGAGGATTTACAAAAGTGGGCAATCCAAATGCAAAAAAGTTGGATTCTAAGTCACTTCAACCCCACATTTCTTCCTGCATTTCACTTACCATTACCGGACGTCACGATGGCTACAATTTGCTGCACAATGAATACGACATCCACATTCTCGGATCATGATTTTTTCATCCTATTAGAATCATCTATAACCCACCACTACTTCAATTAGCCCTGTAATAGAGTAAGAAACCAAAGTGGGATAAAGAATGATATTCTTCCTCCCAATGCAGAAAGTCTATATGACCGAGTGCACGGCGGTAGATCACTTTAAAACACATGTACGAGATCGCAACTGGGGCACTAAAACAAAGGTAAAACTAGACTGAATGTAGGAAATCTTCTCCGTGTGTGACCACAAATCTTCTACACCAGCCATTCCTGATCTATTTATGAGTGTACCATCAGAACCATGTGGAATGATTCGACACCTTCTTCACAAAGAGAAGATTCTGAATTTAATACCGAGGTCATACTGAAACATAAAAATTTGTAAGAATTCCATTACAACGACAGCTAAAACTGGTAAAGAGGGCGTCACCTAATTTATATCTTCTCTATCACTCGAAGTTTAGCACTTCTACTTCTTGGATTTGTGTTGATCTCATCAGCTTCAGCAACAATGGGTCGCTTGGTGAGCACCACGCCTATACTACCTTCCAGCACATTTTTGTCTCTTAAGGAGAAGTCGTCGCCTTGCTTGTCAAGATGTTTCCTTCTAGTGTACCTACTGTGTCTCGTCTCCCCTGGAATATGTCGATATTCAGGAGCCGTCACGGGTTCGGATCCCATCTCATTGTCTTCAACCGCTTGGCCAATCCCAGCAGCTTTCAAGAAAAAACGCTTCACAATGCGGTCCTCCAAACTGTGAAAAGAAATGACAGCCAAACGACCTTTGGGTGCGAGGAGGTCGAAAGCATCTGCCAGAGCTGTCTCAAGGGTCCTGAGCTCATCATTAACTGCAATTCGGAGGGCCTGAAACGTACGCGTTGCTGGATGCACAGCCTTACCCTTCCCCGGACGTCCTGTGCATGCCAACGCGCATCTCAGGATAAAAAATGAGAACATCGTGGAATGCGGAGAAATGACTACTAGGAAAGACATTTAATTGTTCAGTAAGTTATTACCGAAAGTGTTGCCTCCGATAACTTTCACCAGCTCTGACGTTGAATGTATACCACCCGCCAGTCTCTTGTCCACAATCTTACGTGCCAGATGCTTCCACCTTTTCTCCTCGCCATAATCACGAAGAATCCTAGCCACCTCAGCTTCAGGCCACTTGTTCAAAATCTCCTCTGCGGTCAAACTTGCCTGTAATTGTGAATCGTCACGAACGGCTTTAGAAAGTGATGCATGGATATTGGCGGGAAAATATATATATATATATATATATATATATATATATACTTGTATTGGGTTAAATGAATCATATCCCAAATAAAGTCGTTTCCAAAAGAGAAAAAAAGGACGTTCAAAACAAACACAAAAAAATACTCGTATGACACTGCAGAAACTACAAAAAATCACAAGCGTTCACCACCTCTTAACAGAGGGTGCGTTGAGTTCCCGAGAACCAGATGAATTTACACGACACAAAACGAGTGTGAAGTAAGACTAAAAATGCTGCACCAGTAATCGCACAAGAACATCCTTCAATCACAAGAAACGGCAACGAATGGCGAAACCCACCGAAGGATCCATGCGCATATCAGCTGGACCGTCTTTCATAAAGCTGAAACCTCTCTCCGCCATATCCACCTGAGGTTTCATCCAGTTGGTCAAAAACGCTTGATGGTAACCGTCTAGATACAGCAATCACAATTACGAAATCTGTTGTACATAATGCCTAAGCTGAGGAGCTATTCAAGCATTAAACATGTCAAAAGGAAATCATGAGTTGTTAAACACGAAAGCACTAGCTTAACAAAATCGAACGCCACTTTCAAAGTAAATACACGTAGACCCATGTTGGGAGGCACGAAAAACTACAGAGAAGACGCACCTGCATAGAGGACATGCCTAGGTCCATGAGAATACCGTTCACTCCTTCATGTACCAATTTTGCATCCGCACCATTGACTGCTTTCTTAATATTCCGAAAGTTTGTGAGCACCAGGTGTAGCTGCACGTCCGATGAGGCCATGGCTTGAAGCCGGGGCTTTGCTTCACTATGTGCTACGGGATCCACATCGAATCCTATAAATGATTCGAGCTCTGGATGTTCTCTAAGGATCTGCACAGCAAATATCTGAATCAAACAGAAAACATCCATGGATATTTACGGGGATCTAAATACTCTCCGATACTGCACGAATCATAATCTAAGTACATGTCGAAAAAAGAATACACCTAAAACACACAAACCAATGAAACAACGGAATGTCATGCTCTGCAAATAACGAAAACCATATCTGGCGCAAGAACATGTTCACAACATTCAGTCTTTCACCGCAAAAAAAATAACCTAAATACTCATGTAGATAATTTAATCCTCCCGAAATAACATAAACCCTGCACTAAACCCTGAACATCGTTATTCACGACAGATCGAAGACCTTAATTGATTCCAAGTTTAATTCTTGAAACTTTGATCTCAATCAGTCGCAATACAAAGCTAGCGTAAAGAATTCCCTCAAATTGAACTCGGCTCTGCAGATGAACTCGCTAGCTCGGCAACTGAGAAAAATCACCCGCCTGGAGTGGTATTCGAAATGCTCAACAGGTTTGTAGCGGCTGCGAAGTTCACAGCCGCATTGCCCAGCCACAACCAGAATCCTCAGTAAAAGAAACAATTGCAAAGGGGGTTTGAAGGCATAATCTTACAGCTGAAGCATGGCCCGCAGCACCCAAGGTACAATCCACGAACGACAGAATCCTCCGGTCCCTGAACTTAGCCAGTACTTCATTCAACAACACCGCCACATGCGGCGCCTCTTTCTTCTCCACCCCAACCCCTCCCTCCTTATCCTCACAACCCACCTCCGCTTGTTCATCCCCAACCTCCCCCACAGTCGTTCTCGAGGAGGTACTCCAAGCTCGCCATGGCGACGCGGGCCTGGCTCCACAATTCAGCCAAATCCTGAACCTCTCACAACCCAAGCGGCGCTCCTTGGGTGCTCTCCATTGCAAGCAGCTCCTCGATTCTCCAGCTAACAATCCCGAATCACTTGATACCCACGCTGCAACATTCCTGGACAAAACAGGGAGATGGGTGGGTCTCGACGACGCTCTAGAAGTGAAGAGATAAGCAAGGTTGGTGAGATGTGAGCGCTGAATGCCATTGCTGTACCCCTGCAGATACATGGCGACGCGTTGCTTGAGCGGAGGCTGCGAGAGACCGAGCTCGAGCAAGTCGACGATGACGACACTTCTTCTTCTTCACTCCGCTTGCTCACTCCAGCTCCTCACTCTTGCCTCCGCCACCTAGGTCAATTAACAGCCAGCTCAGCCTCGGCGTCCACGTCAGCCGGACCCCGTGGAAATCGTAGTTTAATTCTTCCACCTCACTATGTGCTTTTTAAGTAAATAATCACACAGTCGTAAATTTGTGGTTACTCACAAATCATTGTTGGTTGAAGTAGTTGCAATTTGTAACTTGTGTTTCTTACACTTATTCTACGAGGTATTTTTGAAGTAATCCATTGTGTTTAATTGAGAGTTACTTGCAAAATTATTTTTTAAAACATTCTTAATATTCACAAATCAAACTTTATGGATCTTCGTATATCAAAAATTTAACATTGATTGGTTTTTAACACTAGTCTTGTTTAGTAAAAAAAAAAAAAAAAAAAAAAAAAAAAAAAACTGTGATTTTGTAAGATTGATCACTATGACTGCCTCCAAAATTTACCAGGCATTTTATGAATGAATGTCATCTTGTTTGAAACAAAGATTGTTTTCAGCTCATCTTGTTTATTTCATCTTTTACAACATAATTTAGAATGATCCACACTTCAATATAAAAAATACACGCTAAAAAAAACTGTATTGTGACAACAAAAGAGCTCTTATTTTATTTAATGATCCATTCAATTACCATCCCAGAGATAAGGACTTGTTTTCAAGAAGAAAAAAATAGTAAGTGTGTGTGTATATATATATATATATATATATATATATAAGGAAAGTTAAATAAACCTGTGCTTGTACTAAATAGACCCACCCTTGAAGATGAATATGATAATCATGATGAATGTGGTTGGTTTTTATTTGTTGCAGATCCAATAGTGGAGAAATGAATGTCTAGATCATTTATTTGTTTATTTTCATGATGATTGAAATGGGTCGATGTAGTAAAAACTTGGGTCTATTTCACATTCCCCAATATGAAATGTTTATAATACAAGCACCTATGCATTGCAATCATCCATCTTCAGAAATAAAACTCAAACACTGCAAAGATATTTAACCAGAACAGAAGCCCCACAAAACACAATTCTTTGAAGTGTGTATTTGGGTAGTGGGAAGAATCACAATACAATTTCAAAGTGTGTATTTATTTCTTCCTGCTACCCAAAACCTAACTACTTCAATCAAGTCTTTGAGACTATTATTAAATGCCATCCATAAAAGTTTCATTTGAAGGACATAAATAGGTCATCTACAAGTCAACAATGTACTAAGCCTGATCTGCACAATGCATGATCCCAGGCTTTGTCAAACAGCATCCCAGACATTGAAAGTTTCAATTCCTTCCATTTCCAATGACATGGAGTGCAGGTGGCCCTATTTGGAGCCTTTTTTTATTAATATTATTATTATTGATAGTTTTTTCCTTTTTCATCTTCTGCTTCATCTTCTCTCAGTCAGATCTGACTACAGGTCTTGACTGTGAGTCAATCTTTGTGTGTCTCATATCTGTCCATTTAATTTAATTTATGAGATTGAAACATTAAAAACTAATATATATTTTTCAAATGTTTGCTTAAGTAATTAAAGTGTAGGGGGGCACATAAAAAGAAGACTTATGTGCCCATAGCATGTATCCATCTTTCTATTGGGAATGATGATTTTATGGGTGTCAAGATACATTGTAAGCTCAGTTGCTGACAATCCTTCTTTTGAACACCAAAGTCATGCTACAAGTCAAATAAGTGGTTACAAGAGGCATAGAGGTTATTTCAAATCAAAATCCACAAGTTCACAACAAAAGCCTACATAAACTTCATTGTTTTGGATTTGATTACATGAGATTTGTGTATAATATTTTAACATTTCATTAGTTTTTAACACTAAAATAATATTCACAAATCTGATAATCCTTCTAACCTAAGATATAATCTGACATGGTTCCGTAGTCTCATATATTTGGTATTGCATGTGATTATTATTCAGTTCAGCACTTTGAAATTTCAATACAATGTTTTTAATTAAATGGATTTAGTTATCAGCCAATATAAATATGTATTAAAGTGGTGACATAAGTGGTGATATTTATAAATAACATACAAAAAAAATAGAATCTACAAACATACATACATATATATATATATATATATATATATATCATTTGTAAGATTTTGTTTGTTTGTTTGATTGTTTTGTTTTTGTTTTGTTTTGTTTTTGTTTTTTTTTTTTTTTTTTTTCCCTTTTTTGCACCAGGTCTCTGACACTGTTTTAATGCCAGAGTTCTTTACTATGCTTAATTATTTGGTTTTGCTTGCACAAACAACTGCAACGTATCTGAGCCTATATATTCATCAAAACATCTATACTTAGAATAACCCTATATATATATATATATATATATTCATTTGTATTGTAATATATATGCGTTTGTGTATATATAGTTAAATATTTAGGATCTAAAAGTAATTATAAGCAGTGTAAAGATGTATCACATGTCCCCACAAGAGTGGATTTCAAGAAACCTGCAACTTAATAAGATCCATTGGCCTCTTTAAGAAGTGCCCCACCAAGAGAATTCCATCTCCCTCTTTAAAGAATTTTTCACAATTCTTTGCATGTGATTTTTAGAATAGAAAATTGACAATAAATTCTTTATGGTATTATATTAGGCTTATGGTTTGGTGGTACTATCACATGGCCTTGGACACATATGAAAGTTTTGTTCCTAGAATTGAGCATGCTAGCAAGTAGTCTATGCACACTATATAATAAAAGCAAAATTTCAAATGTTTTGATATTGATAGTGTGTATGTGTAACATATCCAAGAGCTCCACATTCAAGGCCATGGATAGTAATTGTATTAAAAGATCTAGAGGTGTTGAAACTTCTACAATAGTAAATACTTTATAATTTTGTGTAGTTTGTTATGAAAATGTAAATTAACTTTGAGTATAATAAACAAGATCTTTAAATTAAGAATATATATATATATATATATAAACTTAAATCATTGACTCTTCCAATGCCAAGTATATTTTTGGAATCCAATTAAATAAATTTAAAAATACAATATATCAATTAGTGCTCCTTATCACAATTTGAGGTAGAGAATAACAAATAGTGTTACGTCAACTAGGTTCAAGTTAGGTTTGTTCCAGCATGTCCCATCTTCTAATCCCAAGTAACTTAATAGTAATTGGATTTTACCATTACATTCAATTACCTTGGCAACAACTAGGTTTTACTATCCAATTAAATTAACTTGGTAATAAGTGGATTTTACCACCCAATTAGATTAATTTGATAATAATTAGATTTTAGCATCTTATTGGCTTAATTTGGCCATAATTAGGTTTTACTATCCAATAGGATTAACTTAGTAATAATTAGATTTTACCACCTCATTGGATTAACTTGGCAACAACTCGATTTTGCCATCCAAATAAGTTAACTTAGCAATAACTAGGTTTTATCGTCTACTTGGATTAACTTGGCTATAATTGGATTTTACCACCTTATTAGGTTAATTTAGTAATAATTAGATTTTATCACCCAATTAGATTAATTTGGTAATAATTAGGTTTTATCATCAAATTGGATTAATTTGGCAATAACTAAGTTTAACCAAGCAATTTTGCTAACTTGGCAATAACTCAATTTTATCACCAAATTGGATTAAATTTGCAATGATTTATTTTTTTTGGAAAATAACAAGAATAAAATCCCTATTTTAAAATTTACAATCTGATACTTTAACCTATTAAGCTATATTCGCCATTTTTTCCAATTTAGATGATATTAAAATATTTACTCTATAATTAGGTTTTATGATCTTATTAGATTATCTTGGTAATAATTGGTTTTTACTACTTAATTGGATTAACTTAGCAATAACTAGATTTTATCATCCTATTAGGTTTAGTAATAATTGGGTTTTATCACCTTACTAGGTTAACTTAGAAATAATTGGATTTTACCACCTAATTGGAGTAACTTAGTTATAATTGGATTTTACAACTATATTAGATTAACTTGGTAATAATTAGATTTTATCACTTAATTAGATTGATTCAAATTGGGTTTATATTGATCCATTCTATTATCCTTCTCCAAAACTTGATAGTAATTGGATTTTACCACCTAATTGGATTAACTTGGCTATAACTGAGTTTTACTATCCTATTAGATTAATTTGGCCATAACTAGGTTTTATTACCCTATTAGATTAACTTGGTTATTACTTGATTTTATCATTCAATTGGATTAGTTTAAATTAGGTTTGTCTTAGCCTAAATCACCCTCTAATCCCTAATAACTTAATAATAATTTAATTTTACAATCCTATCAGATTAATTTGGCAAAGAATTAAGTTTTACCATCCAATTAGGTTAACTTTTTAATAATTATATTTTACCATCCAATTGGATTAATTTAGTTATAATTGAGTTTTACTACCCTTTTAGATTAACTTAGCAATAATTAGATTTTATCACTCTATTGGATTAACTTGGCCATAACTAGGTTTTATCACTCTACTAGGATAACTTGAAAATAAATAGATTTTATTGCTCGATTGGATTCATTTGGATTGGATTCTTCCCAACATGTCCTATCTTCTAATCCCAAGTAACTTGATGAAAATTGAATTTTACAATTCTATTACATTAACTTAGTAATAATTGAGATTTATCACTCAATTAAGTTAACTTGACAATAATCAATTGATTACCATTCTATTAGACTATAATTGATTACCATTGTATAGGTTAACTTGATTTTAACACTTTATTGGATTAACTTGGCCATAACTAGTTTTATCATCCAATTGGATTAATTTGATTAAAATCCAATTGGATTAACTTAGTAATAACTAGGTTTTACCACCCAATTGAATTAACTTGTTCATACCTAAATTTTACTACCCTATTCGATTGATTTGGTTATAATTGGATTTAATCATTGAATTAGATTAATTTGGATTATGTTTGATTTGGATTGTCTTATCCTCTAATCTCAAGTAACTTGA